ATACAATATGAATTATTGAAAAAAAGTCTTTATTTTTATATTTTTTTACTTATGTTATGTTAATGAACACAAAAATTCGAACTCGTAAAATCTCTTATAAATAAAGTTATTTTAACAAAGATAATGATAGTGAAAACAAAAATTTACAAAATTTTCTATTTCCAAAATCACTCTTAAATTAGGAGTGATAACGAACAGACAAGTGCCTGCACGCACTCGAATATATATCACTTATTCTTTTCTATTCCGCTCGCCGAACATCGTGAATATTAGGGAATAGTCGGGATAGTGCAGTCCAACACTTTCCAAGTTTCCTTCCTCCTACTGCCTCTCGATCCTACTGCCGCTCGATCTCGTCAATCTCGGCCGAGATCTCGTTATTACATACTTCCAGATTTATCTCGAAAAATGAGGCGAGATGTCGGATGATGGGGATCTCGCGAGATCGAGATTGCATTCCCTAGTGATAAAGTACTAAGCAGTTATCTTAATATTGGACGTCACTATTTAATTTTTCCATTCCTCTTTTTCAACCGACTTCAAAAAGGAGGAGGTTCTCAATTCGACTGTATTTTTTTTTATATTTGTTACCTCAGAACTCCGTCATTTATTAACCGATTTGGACAATTTTTGTTTTGTTTGAAAGGGTATACTTCCAGATTGGTCCCATTTAAATTTCAAAAAAAAATACCACCCCTAAGGGTGGAAAAACAACTAATGATGAATTTAACCTACTTCTAATTGTCATATTGACTTGAAACTTTGCAAGTATTTCTATTTCCGTTGATAGTACAGTGGTTCGGTGTTGTTGACCTGATCTGATGGCAAGGCCAGAAGGTGGATAGGTGGAACTCTTCAACGGCTAATAGTAGATACTTTGAGTTTGGGCTTATTTTGTTTGATTTGACAAGCCTAACACGTTAGAATCCTTACTTTGCTACTACTGTCTACACTAAAAAGGGAAAAATGAAACCTTTTTAACAAAAAAATAAAAACCGACTTCAAACAAAAGCACTAAAGAGTAAAAAATAACTGATTGGTAGTTTTCATTTACTATACATACCTAATCAAATATTTTCGAAGTCGGTGTGCTTCGGCTAAGTAATTAAAACCTACCTATTAAATACATACGAGTACCTAATCAAATATTTTCGAAATCGGTGCCAGCCCATACAAAGCAAAGCACACCGACTTCGAAAATATTTGATTAGGTATGTATAGTAAATGAAAACTACGAATCAGTTATTTTTTACTTTTTAGTGCTTTTGTTTGAAGTCGGTTTTTATTTTTTTGTTAAAAAGTTTTTATGTTAGTATGTGGATTTGTGGCTGCGCTTCCCTTAGTAACTTTTTCAAATCATAAATATAAGAACCCCCGATAGAATGTGGGATAAAGAAGTCTGCGTCACTCGGCAGCCCTTTCTGCAACTTTATGCAAAAAACTGCATTAATCCGTTGTTTCATATTTTATCGAAAAAAAAACTATTGTTTTTTACATACCTCTTTCGCTTCCATGATAATTGTGGCTAACATATTTAAATCAAGCTTAATATACGATTTTTTACACGCAGATTGTCATCTCTTTTGCGGAACCTAATTGCGAAATGGTTAAAATGCCATTAATTCAAAATTCGACAAATCAAACAATTTGTCTTAAGAATTTTTATACCAACGCATTATTTGTTTTTTTTTTTCAGAATAAAAGATATGCATCTATCATAGAGGCTTGACGTTGATGTTGCAAGAGGAATGCGTTGTCCCTTGATTTCTATCCGATCAAATTATCGTTACAGCTCCCATCCCCGTTAAGTTAGAATCGATTCAATAACTTGACTTTTATGAAACCTTTTAGAAGGAAAGTTTCTCATCCCGTATAACTTTTATCCTCTACGCTTAGAATCTCGTTGGCCCTTGCAAGTGTACCTATATCTGCCATTGGGATCACATATACATATGTGCACCCACTATCTTAGTCAAGATCAGGGTCTCTTTATGGAGATGCCTCTCATATTTTATCCTATCCTTAACTCCAACTATTAATTTAATTAATTTTAAACAACAGTAAACTGTTGTTTTTTTGTTCATTAGATAATTATCTATTTCTAAAACAATAGATCAAACAATAAGTAAATCTAAAGAAGACACCTAGGTACAACTGGAACTCCTGGATAGAACTCTTCGAAGAATATTCTGCGAGTTGGTATCAAGCGGTGGTCATAAATATTATGTACATGTACAAGGTGGTTGGTTTCGGTAAACAATTGCATTCAATTGTATTAAATTATTATTTACATAACTAATTAAAATACCAAACTCCGACGAGTTATGGCGCGATTGATGTGAATTCCGAGCCCAATAGTTCGATAAGAATAAAACTTGCTTTCATTGATAAAAATGTTGCTTGCGTAAACCTTGTTTTTCAATGGCGGAGTAGATAAACTGTGGCGCCCACTTGCAGATAACCACGCTGCTTACAAATTACAATTTATGGCAAAGGCCTGGTAGCAAATATAATATACTAGCAGAAAGATATAGCAGAAGAATGGTATTCCAATGAATATGGAATACCAAATAAATGGTGTTCCATATTCAATTATAAAGCTAATTAAAATTATAAAAATGTTAAAGTTAAAAAATATTAAAAAATATTGTAAGGTTTTGGTGCCATTTTCCAATTTTCAACCGACTTCAAAAAGGAGGAGGTTCTCAATTCGACTGTATGTTTTTTTTTTTTTATGTTTGTTACCTCAGAACTCCGTCATTTATTAACCGATTTGGACAATTTTTGTTTTGTTTGAAAGGGTATACTTCCAGATTGGTCCCATTTAAATTTCAAAAAAAAATACCACCCCTAAGGGTGGAAAAACAACTAATGATGAATTTAACCTACTTCTAATTGTCATATTGACTTGAAACTTTGCAAGTATTTCTATTTCCGTTTATAGTACAGTGGTTTGGTGTTGTTGACTTGATCTGATGGCAAGGCCAGAAGGTGGATAGGTGGAACTCTTCAACGGCTAATAGTAGATACTTTGAGTTTGGGCTTATTTTGTTTGATTTGACAAGCCTAACACGTTAGAATCCTTACTTTGCTACTACTGTCTACACTAAAAAGGGAAAAATAAAAACTTTTTAACAAAAAAATAAAAACCGACTTCAAACAAAAGCACTAAAAAGTAAAAAATAACTGATTGGTAGTTTTCATTTACTATACATACCTAATCAAATATTTTCGAAGTCGGTGTGCTTTGGCTAAGTAATTAAAGCCTACCTATTAAATACATACCTAATCAAATATTTTCGAAATCGGTGCCAGCCCATGCAAAGAGGTGTATCGAAAATAATGTTTATTTCCGAATCTATAGTTTTTAGAATTTTTGTCTGTGTGTCTGTCTATCTGTTACCGCATCACAGAAAAACTACTGGAGGGATTTTGTTGAAATTTAGTATGGTGATAGCTGGTTATCTGAGTCAACATAATAGGACATTTTTACCGCGGGAAAATAACTAATTTCTGAGAAAAAATACAAAAACTGTAATGTAAGAAAGAGTATACTAATATGTAAAATTAGAATTTGGTCAAAAAAAAAATAATAAAAATAAGAGTATACTTCTCAACTCTGGAATTTTACTGAGAATTAGTATTGAGAGAAAAAGTATAGATACATAAGATCGAGGATCTCTGGATCTACAGCCGTACATGCTAGCCACATAGGTAACTATAAGCAGGTAGTTCTTCAAAACAATATAATCTATAGTAAGCGAGGGCTTTGTAAAATATATTTATACTATCTATACTTTTAGAAGTACCAATGAAATATTTACAGCAACTCATATCGAGCACCCCACACTTTATTCTTATACTAAAAAATATTTTTTACTTTTAAGTTCGGTTCATTATTAAAGTGTGTTTTTTAGTTTTGCAAACTATAATTTATTTTCCATTTTTTAGGTCGATCTTCTATAAAATTTAAAAACTTGTTTATTTTAGTATTTTAAATTATCATCCTCCTTGGGCCTTGTTAATTAAGTTTTGAAGTGGGTGAACGAATGAAAACTGCATAATTATTCATTTGTTTCATCCATATCCATCCTACTACATACTAATATTATAAATGTGAAAGTTTGTGAGAATGGATGGATGTGGTTGGATGGATGTTTGTTACTCTTTCACACCAGAACGGCTGAACGGATCTGGATGAAAGACACAGAGATAGATTATAGTCTGGAATAGCACAAAGGTACTGTTTATCCCGGAAAAATGTAAGGTTCCCGTGGAATAGATTTGTTTTTGTTTAGGGACTTACTAGAAACGAAGTGAGGGTGAGTTGCTATTTATTTTATACTTTATCTAATGAAATCTCATCCTATACATTGTTATTATATTACCGAGTACATTAATGGTATACAATAGATAAAATCGCATTACCATCATAAATACGAAAATATCTATGTACGTTGTAAGTGTATATTTATTTTTACTTCTTCACGCTTATATAGCTTGATGGATTTGGATGAAACCCTATGTAGTACACCGAAAGTCTACATACCTAGGCGAGGCCGGCATAGGTCGCTATTTTTTTTATATAACTATATCCGAATCCCTTCTAAACATAAGGTTATTAGATTTAGGTGGTAGGTACACGAAAAAAATTATCAATGATATTGTGTTCTATCTACTAAATGTCGATATGTAGGTACCTATGTAGTATTTACATTATGCATTTTATACCTCCAGAATAGAAGGCCCGTGTAAATAATTAATAGATACATACCCTGTTAAATTATTAAAAATTAGTAGGTTATTTTACAGTACATATATCAGTAATCTATTTCATAATTATCCATAAAAATTCTGCGAACGTCTTTAACATGTTTGTACCAAATTACAAACGTGTTAAAAAAACTGTCGATTGAACAAAACATTAGGAATGTTGTTTTGATACATTTCGCAGTGTTGAATCTGCAATATTTTATTGAAAAAAAAACTAACGCAACCTGATGGTGAGTAATCTGTTTATTACTTATGTTGTCGTTAAAACCAGTTATTTTTTATAACAATTTTTTGCATATGTGCAAAATTCGATATCATAAAAACGGATTAATAATTTTTCGGGGCTGAAAGTTTTTTTGGATAGTTTTTTTGATAATCATTTTTAACTAGTTTATAACAAGGGATGAATACGATAGAGGCACTTTGAACTTTGAACATTCAGTGTCCTTTTCGGAACAACAGCAAAAAATGTACAAATGAAAATTTTCAATCTTTTAAATAACGTTTGATAAAATAACCATAACTGAGATTGAAATTACTTAATAATATTATTAGCTTTTTTAATTTGGTATACCCAAAGTACTTAAATATCAAATTGTTATGTAATATAAAATTTTTGTAATCTTTATATACTTACTAGGAAATTTATACATGAGTAAAGTTACTGCTTAGTTTGTGCACTCGTACTCGTATGAACCTACTGAGAACTGAAATCCTATCTTTGTGTGTACTGTATTATAATAATAATTTTATTACTGATGGTAGGACTCTGTCAAGCCCGAGAAGTCCGACTGGATAGGTACCACCCCCTTATCTATGTCTCCCGCCAAGCAACAAAAATTACATTGTTGTGTTCCGGTTTGAAGGATAAGGTAGCCAGCGTAATTACAGGCAACAGGCATATCATCTTAGTCCTCACAGTGACAACGCACCTGGAATTCTGTATTTTTGTAACATAAAACCTAAGTGCATGAACCTAGTACCGCTTTCCATCAGGTAGGCTGTCTGTTCGTTTGTCACTGAATACCATGAAAAAAATTTACCATACATAAAATTCCACATTTATACATTATCATACTTTTGCGACTTTATTTTATTAAAAAGTAATTGATACGTACCGAAACCTGCTTTCGTTACTTCGAAAAAAAATTAGAGAAATCCACCTCCATCAATAGTTACTACAGAAACTAAAAGTATATAAAAACATTGTGACGATTAAATATTTATTGTCAACTATAAATTTTTCATTAACTATCTTTAAAGTTTTAAATCACGATGTTATATAGATATACATTATACACGTGGATTCTGCCTTCTCGTACTCTAAAGATACCTGCATAATAATATAATCATTCAATATAATAATAAAAGGTAACGTTTTAACCATATTTCTAAATTTGATTATGAACGTTTAAAGTTGATTAATTTCTCTCATAAATTTTTTAAAGGTGATTAATAAAAATAAATGAAAATTTTAAAACTCTTAAACAGTCTACAGGTTGCAATATTTGTTGATTTTGTTGTAAGGTATTTGGTGTCATTTTTGAAATCATTTTTGTAAAATTGTGGGTATGTGGGTACTATCTGTAACAAGTATAGGTACTTAGTATATAACAAATTGAGACATCTAAAACCTTAGTCTCTCCCGTGACCATGATTGCATTTGAAACGTCGGGAACCAAAAATCAAAATAAATCTGCGAAATAATCCGAAAAGATAGTTTTTTTTTTTTAATGTCAAATATTCGCGTAAATCTAAGAAAGATATCAATTTTTTTTGCATCATGACACTGCAAAATTTGTTATTTTGATTAAATTTTAAATAAAATGGAAAAAAAACATCCACGTTATAGAGCTTTACAATGCTCTCAAGGCTATAGTGATTGCGACATCTGGCGGGAGGAAAAGGCAAAATTCTTCCCCTAAAGTTTTCTAAAAAATGTAATAATTATAATATTATCAGCTAAAATAAATAATAGTCCATATTCAATTAAAAAAATTATTAAAATTACCAGCGGCTCACCCTCGCTTCGCTCGGGTTCACCTCTAGGAAAACAAAAACCTATCCCACGGGAACCGCACATTTTTCCGGGATAAAAAGTAGCCTATGTGCCAAATTTCATCCAGATCCGTTCAGCCGTTCTGGCGTGAAAGAGTAATAAACACCCATAAATACTCACAAACTTTCACATTTATAATATTAAAAATACGGATAAAGAAGTTTAACACCTCCAGGTAAACTAAGAAATTAATGAAATTTCTAAGAACTCTATTGTTAACTATAACGCCGGCGTGTCCGCGGTCATGGAGGGTCCAAAATTAAAATAAACAAATATTGTAAGGATATTTATTGTTATTTTGTGGGTAAGCGGAGTCTGTAACAACTATGTTTAGCCTTTGAGACGTCAAAAACCTTACGCTCTCCCGTGTGACCATGATTGCTGTAAAGCATTCGAAACGTTGGGAACCAAAAATGAAAATAAATCCGCGAAAAAAATCGAAAAGATAGTTTTATTTAAAATCTTATGACTTATTTGAAAAAAGTTAAGCTGTGCTAAAATATTTATAATGTCCATACATATTATCTAATAAGTTTTAAGCTTCCAATAAAAGGATATTACGGGTAGTAAGTTGTTATTGTTATGTTTCTAAATATCTTCGTACACCATAATTTGCTAAGTTTCAATTCATTAAATCCAATTCATGTGTATCTATAACTTTTTAAAACAGTTATCTTTGTAGAAGTCAGCGATAAGAAGAAATCAATATAAAATAAACAACATGTGAACATCTTAAGGACTAACAATAAGAAGTAGACAGGGAGGAGTATCATTAAAGGCACCAAGGTTCGTTCTGAGCTGTGAGTACACAGTGAATGTTCGCGTCCCCTCGCGCCCTACCGGACCGACCAAAAAAATAAGTACGCGAGAACGGGCGAGCCGCATTCCTCGACTGGGTCGACGGCACAGCCCCGCGCGCGTCCCCTCCGCGCTCCGCCGCCAGTCGTTTGCGCGCGTCGTTCGTGGTAACTTGTCTGTGTTGTTCGCTCTGCCGCGCGCTGTGTTTACAATATAGTGTTATTGATGTTAGCGAAATATACCATCTAGTGATCCGTGTTGTGACAAAGTGAATATATAGTGTTCGTGTCTAACTTATCATAGTATTTCATACGCAATAGTGGTTGACGGGGCCAGATAAACACGGCAGGCGCCGAGCTCAGGTAGCGTTTCATGTTTTCAATCTGATTACGACTGGGTTATTCTAGTTCATGAATACTGCGTGAATTGTGTGTATGTTACGTTTTATAGTATAGTACAGGTGTAAATGCTCTGACCCACGTGATGGCGTATATCAATCGGCCTCCACGTGGTGCGGTGGTGTAAACAACTCTACCGTCTCTTTGCAGCGGCATCACATTGTCGCATGCCATGAACCAAGCCCGAATTCTGTTGCGCGGCTCTACATACGCTCTATAGCTTACTCATAATATTTCAAACTGAATAATGTAATACTATTCTTTTTAAAATTACACTTTTTTGATCTGTACTTTAAAAACGATGTCTTATTTCTGTCTTATATTGATTATATTCAATATTTTATAGAGTTCGTTGATTTTATTTGGTATTTAAATTTATTTGTTAGGTAAATAACCAGACTAGAATTTTACTGTATAATTTGTTGCAGTTATTATGGAAACAAAAACTTAACATTCGATACTTTAAGTACAAACTAGCACTGTCGATCACAGAATATTTTTTCATTTAGCACTTTTTTATATTTATGAATGAATGCATTGAAGCGCTGTACGGTGTAATTAGTACTAATACATAAAATAAGATTAAACAAATCGTAACATTGTCATATTTTTAAGTTTTAGCTTAAAAAAATCTATTCGTAATATTATTTAAAAATAGCTAAACATTTATTAACCTGCTTGTTAAAGTTTGTTTGTATTGAAGTTTGAAGGGAATAAATATTTAGACTGATATGTTAATATTTTAACATATCTTCTTTTTAGATATAAAAATTGTAAAACAATCATACCTATTACGTATATTTATTTTATAGGCGATATTTTTGAGATATAAAATTAATAAATACGTCTATAATTAACAATAATTATTATGATCTGAATTGAACGCATTAAAAAACATAAACAATAACTGATAGCTGTTATTTTTGCAGTTTGTGCCTTTTCAAAAAAGCATTTCTTTAAAAATTTGAACTCAACACAAACTTATTAGTAAGTGTATTTGAAAGTTGAACATTTACTTTGACAAGTTATTAAGTAGGTACATATATCTTATATTATTTTGTAAATAATTAAATGTCATAGTGTCTATTTTTTAAAGAGTAAATTGCAACATATTTAAAATTAATAATTACATGTAGCTCATAACTAAAGTAGTTTTAATTATTTGCAGATAATCTTACCTGTTATATTTGCAAAATCGAAAGATCAAGGGAGCGTGATATATTGTAATTACTAAGGTGTTCACGCGCACTGCTCATGTTCTAAACTTTCATTGCGATGTCATTGCCTCTAGCGTATTATGATGTAAAGATAATGAGAGTCTCGTCAGCGAAGCGCTTACGCCGGACACCGGTCACCGGGAGCGTGACGAGTGACGCTGACTGATTGATAGCGATACGTGACAGCAAATAGATGTCGGAAAATGTCACGCTTTTCAATGGCTTCTGTTCCATTGTTACTTAGTAATGGTAGACCTCATGTAGTAAGTTAAAAAACACTTTTCACACGTGTGTGTATCATCAAGTAGTTAAACAAAATAGATTTATTCTATAACTACATATCTATAACAATACAACTACAAACCAAGAGCCTGAGAAAGTAAACAAATCTATCACAAACGTTGCGGCCAGGTAATTTTATTAACAGTTCACTGTAATTAAATATACTTTTACATATTTAATACATATATATTTGTAGTTGTCATATGTAACATTCATAGACTGTAGGCTGCCACTGATAACGCGCGCATACAGGCCACAAATACCTTGGAAGTCTTATTAAAACAATGTATAGAAATTAACTTTTTTCATTTGTATGGCTTTGAATCGACATGTTATGTTTTTTAAAATGTAGGAATTAGTAGTGTTAAATATGATTTAGACGATAACTTAAAAAGAACATATATAAACAATTAAACATACATACAGTTTTGAACATTTTAAAATTTCCTGTATAAACATAACTACAGATAATGGCTCTTGACAAAACTTATAAGGGATTTTGTAACCATAGGATAATATAACCCAATGAGGTTAAACTTACATTTCTTTAGTTTAGTCATAACGAAAGATACCGAGGGTCAGTCATAAATAAAAGACACTAGTCGCTACCCGTTGTAAAGAAATACAAAATATATCTTTTGGCTTGTACAGAATATTACTGACGTTATTTGTGCCTTTTATATTAAAAAAACAAATTACAAATAGTTTTTTTTTTCTTATAAAACTATGTATTATCTATTTTAAAAAAATCTATGACCAGCGACCTGTAAAATGCTTAAAAAAATATTTTTGTAAGGATATTAATAAAGCAGTAATAGGTACTATTTTTATGATATAATATATAAAAAACAACTACATTGCATGGCGCGTATCATTAATTTGCCAAGTTTCCACACTATACTTCAATAAGGTTATCCTGAAGCGTGGTTTTAAGCTTAACCTCTGTCGACGCAGACATGACTCGGGGGTGGGGTGCAATGTTTAGGCCACCAAGCATCGCGCCGCCGCACTGGCCATAGGACGATCGATCGTGATGCGTTGCGCTGTTCTATTATTTATTACCGAAAATATGGCGGCGTGGTGCTGCTCGCGGTCGTCAACCTCGATGTCCGCCACGCTGTGGCGCGTAAACAACTCGGAATGCAACGCGGGAAACTGGTACCTCCCTTCTCTACCTACTGGCTTCCACGCACGCCGCAACCCGCAGCGGCGCAGTCCCTTCTTCGGGGTTTACGGTCTCGTTCCTACATGCTGGTGTAACAACATTTCTATATTGCTATCCCTGTCTCGCTAATATCAAAGCAACGCTACGCTAACAGCATGATTTCCACGTGTAAAAATATAATTACGCACTTTACAAATAACTAAAAGCGTAGAGCATTTCTTTTAAAAGCACCTTCATAGATTACATTTGAAATTATTGTGACTATTTGAAACACGCTTTATATCTATAAAAATTACATTTAGAAAATTGTCTATACATATAATAAAATTGTAACTAAGTCGAATCTGTACATTAAATATTTTTTGGAAAATTTAATTGAAATAGACATTATTATCGATACAGAGTCCGAATTTATAGTTTTTAGAATTTTTGTTTGTCTGTCTGTTACCGCATTATAGAAAAACCACTGGAGGGATTTTGATGAAATTTGGTATGGTGATAGCTGGTTATCTGGGTCAACATATAGGATACTTTTTACCGCGGAAAAATATCTCATTATATCTAACTAGCGGACCCGACAGACGTTGTCCTGTCTACACGTCTTTAATATGAAAATTTCAAACATTTTTTAATAATTTTTTTGATGAAAATTATTATTCAAATTGTGAATCTAAACCATTCCCAGATCCCCTTCAACACACACAAAAAATTTCATCAAAATCGGTCCAGTCGTTTGAGAGAAGTTCAGTGACATACACACTCACAGAAGAATTATATATATAAAGATAAATACAGAAACTACATTGTAAGAGTATACTAATATGTAAAACCTAAAAATTTGGTTTTTTGGTCATCTGAACGCGGGCGGAGCCGCGGGCATTGCTAGTCATATATATATAAAGACTATTATGTGATAATTTATAAAAATTGTAATGTGAGGTAAATCGATTGAGTTAGATGATCCCCGGTTATAATATAATTCATTACTAAACCTAGAATATCTCAATGTTTGACGCATCAGGTAAAAGTAGTATAATAAAACAAATAAATCATAATATACTCACATATATTTTCATTAAGATTTCAATATCATCAAGCAATTATTAGGAATAATTGCAGTTTGAAAAAAAAGTATTAGAAAACAATTAGGTTCAAAATATTTGTGGTAGAAACAAGTGGTTAAGTCGTTATCTAAGATAGGTTCCAAAAAGTATTTTTTGATAAAGCGTAGTACACCGTCAGTTGGGCGCCGGCCAGCGTCACGATGACGTAGTCTTGGTATACAAAACACGTAAGTACTAGATAGGTAATGTATGTAAGCGTATAACATACGAGTACTACTGATTACATTAATATAGCACAATCCACAACCCAGGGCGCCACCACAATCGTGCCTCACCATGCCTCCATATGGATTTACATAGGCTTATGGCCGAGCATTCGATTTTAATTGTGTGCGAATTTAAAGTTATTTGTGAACATATAATTAACATAAACTAATGTCATCCTTGAATCTCATACTAGCAAATTCTCAGAACTCTGTCCGCATTTATTTAAGTTTTTTTTTTATATTGTTATCTTCTTACTCCTTTTTTTCTACAATGAAAAATATTTAGTGCATCTGTAGAAAAATACTTAGATGTATTCAACGCATAGGTATAATTTTCCCAAAAATAAGGCATTTTATGTATGCTTCAAATTAGGCATTATATGACATATTATTTCATTGATTAAGGGCAAATAGTTAAAAACATGTATAAATATTAGAAACTTTAATATTTAAAAAGTGTACTTTTACGGTAGTAAGGCAGTGGTAGCCCAGTGGTAACGCGCTCGCTTGGGAAACCGAGTGAAGCCAGTTCAAATCCCGGGTCTCGCACCTCTGATATTTATTATTTTCATGTGCGTATCATTTTCAACATGATTACCACTTATCTTAACGGTGAAGGAAAACACCGTGAGGAAACCTGCATGACTAAGAGAACCTAGCTAGTTTTCAAAAAGACATGTGAAGTCCGCCAACCCGCACTTTGCCAGCGTGGTGGACTATAGCCCGATTCCCCTCGTACCCGCAAGGGAGGCCCGTGCCCAGCAGTGGGATGTTAAATAGGGCTGAATACGAATACTTTTACAGTAAACATTTAATGGGAGATTTACTATGATGGTATGAATTGACGAACGTTTTTATGGATGATGATGTCAAAATGACTGTTTGTAAAACAATGAAATTGGCTTGTTTTTCTAGTGCCTAATGTTCAGTTTTAATGAGTTTTTCACGCGAACTGGTCACTGTCGATTGCAAGTTTGGGGTTAATCGGCTAACGTTTTTCCAAGGCAATATTTTAGTCGCAGACTGGTGTCGTGGGAACGCGCAGGCTCTCACGCTAATTACCGGAGCCTTCGTGCTACTCTGTGGTTTCCGCGAGTCGCAAATATTAATGAATGAAGTAATTAGTCATCAATGAAAATTTACAATATAGTAACAGTGTATGGGAAATTATTTTTTACTTAATTCAGAGAATGTTGGTGTCAACATCATAATAAAAATTAGACAATTGCAAACCAAATCTCATCAAGTGTTTCATACTACATCCAATATATTTGTATAACGTATTTACTACTACAATATACCATTTATTTAACAGTTGTTGAAACTTAACGCGAATACGGTTCACACTTTGATTTGTATTAATTATTTATTGCTGTCGTTATTGTATAAAAACAAAAAGATATTTCTTAAGTAACATTCTGTATGGAAAGGATAAACTATAGGTACTTACTAAAATCCGTATTTTGGATCATTAAAACGTAACGTTCTTACAAATAACGCTGAATTATATTTATTTTGTCTATTATTTTTTATTAGCTCTATACAAAATTGTTTTTACAAATGTTTGTAAATGATTATTATTTTCATTCCAGCTCGGGTCATGTGGAGGAGGGCGCGAGTGCGCGGCGCGGCGTGATGCGGCGCGCGTGCGACTGGGTCGCATGGCCGGTGGTAGCGTGCGCGCTGCTGCTGGTGTGCGACTGCCTTTGCGCTGGCGAAATACTTGCACCTGGAGGTTGGTTACAACCTTTATTTAGTTTATACCATCAGATAAATTTAAATAACGCTACTATCAAGTATTGTTATTTCATATTGATGTTACGTGTACTTTAGTTCCGTGTTGTTATTGTCGTTTTAATTAAATTAGTGTTCGCCTTGTGGTCGAAATTCGACCACAATCACTATGTATTGGAAATTGATGATATATAGCAAACATTTATGCATATAATTTTTCTATGTATATAAAAATAACTGTTACCAAATATTTTTATTGATATTTTAATTGCTAACAATAAAGCTCGTCAATAGCTACTAAACAAAAGAATGTAAAAAGATAAGTGAATTTTGACTATATGTGACAGTATGTAAATTTAACCAGAGTTCTCATAATACTTTCTTAGATTTACGCGAATATTTGACATTTTAAATAAAACTATTTTTTCGGATTTTTTCGCGGATTTATTTGGATTTTTGGTTCCCGACGTTTTCCTCCCGTGGCCATGATTGCTGTAAAGCATTCGAAACGTCGGGAACCGAAAATTCAAATAAATCCGCGAAAAAATCCGAAAAGATAGTTTTATTTAAAATTAACCAGTTTCTCACTCGTTTAGAGTTCACCGTATTACGTTTAGAAATTGTACGCTAATGTATTGATTGTAAAACTATAAGCGTATTTAAATGTTAAAATAAGGCGAAAACAAAAATATTGTCTATGATTATTTCCTACCAAATATTAAAGTATAATATTATAATCTTGGACTACGATTGTTTACACTTTGTTGTTATTAGAAAATAAGTAGTAGGTATAGAGATATTCGATTACGATTTGTCGACTTGTATAAGCACGATCTCGTATTACAATTTTTCAAATTCATTCAAGTATAATACAAATAAATTGAACCGTTTTAAATTCTAAATTACACATTAGACGTTAGCAATTAGGTACTATTGAAAGGAATTCTCAAGTTCTATTTAAAACAGATTGTTAATATCCAAAACCAAGGCGACTCGCTCCATTTATCCATAATATTAATTAATTAATTATACAAAATAATATTTTTTACCCGACTATGCGACGGGAAGCAGGGTAATGTGTTTATCAGTATGTTTTTAATTTTTATATGTATGAATGTTTGTTCCTATGTGGCGTTCTAGAGACCAAACGCGTAGGCCGATTTTGATGATTCATACGCGCGTCGTTAGATTCGTCTTGATAACACGAGTGTGATAGGTTATATAAAAATAGTTATGAAATAAAATGGCGGATTTCAGGCGCCAATTTGTGTATTTAAAAAAAATCGTAACCAATCTAGTGGGGTATCAAAATAAAGTTTTTGCAAGACGATCAAAAAAATTAATACAACTGATATGTTTAAAAGTAATTTAGGATAAAAAATTGACTCCGGACCCAAAAAAAACGGTAAAAATAAATAATAATTTGAAGCAATCCCCCAACGCGACGTATTTTTTTAGGTACTTTGAGATAGTTTTTTTTATTATTTTTTACTTTTTAAAGGGAACTTCGGTTTTTGTGTCGGGAGTTTTTTAAATTTTTAATTTAATTTGTTATAGATAATTAAGACTTTAAAAATCTTTTCAAGTAAATAAAGCTTCTTCTATTTTGAAGTTTATTTTTTTATTATTTAGATAGAAATCGTGTATAGAACTTTATAATCTGGATCATATTTATTTATAGTCATAACTAATGAGATAAATCAAAGAGTTACGGCTCTGCGTGAAGAAAGCATTGATAGGTATCCTGCCTATGTATTATTTCATAGTTTAATTTCTAATTAAAAGTAAATTATATCCTGGGAGAGAAGACTTTCCAAAGGATTGGAGACAAAATCTGATTTATATTTAGTATATAATGTAAAGTTATATGAATGTTACCTTAAATTATTAAACATCTTTTATAGCTTTATACATTCAAAGAGAAAGCAGGACCGACCCATGATATAGAAGTCACTCACTGATAAACATATGATCTGTCTGTCTGTGAAAATGTCTTTCTCCAAATCTGTAACAAACGCGTTAAAATTAAGTTAGTTAAATAAGGGTTAAATAATTTTAGTTTGATTTTAGTGGCAAATGATAATTTTAAATAAAACTATCTTTTCGGATTTTTTCGCGGATTTATTTTGATTTTTATTTCCCGACGCTTCGAATGCTTTACACTGTAAAGTGATTGCTGTAAAGTTTACAGCAATCATGGTCACGGGAGAGACTGTCTCTCGAAAAGATTTATCAAAATGGTTTTTGTTTATTTTGTAAAATATATATTTTTAATCTACGCCCAGGTACACAGAAATTAAGTTGTTAGCGATAAAAGCCAATTGTAAATGACTTTATAATTTATATAAATATGCACTCTAAATACAGACGTATGATTTTATCGTATGAGACGTATGAGTTATTTCGCTTTATCTCTTAGCAAAACCGGATAAAAGATAACGGCCTTGCTTCTCAAATTGTTTCATATAAACATAAGCTAAAGGTCGCCTGTTGAACACAATATTTATTTTTTTAAAGAATGGAAAGTGAATTAAAGTTCTTACACGCAAAAAATTACGAAAAGTTATGTTGAATTATTTTTAGTTTTAATGTTTTCATTTAGTATATTTATAATGAAATAGAATTCAAATATATAAATTAAATATTTAAAACATGAAATCTATCTGAAATCCATAGGCTGAATATATTTTACATAGGCTTAATAAATTTTTAATTATGAATAAAATAATATTCTTATTTAATTCAGTAATTACGGTTAAAAAGGACATAGGTTTCAGAGTGTGACGGCCCGGACCGAGGGCGCAGCAGCCGACAACCCATGACCAATGTAAACAACTGGCCCCCGCGCCGTTAACATGCCGGATGTTCGCAAAAACTTCCGCGGCCATTGATCCTACCATCATGGGGCCGCTTTTGGCTCGCTATATTATTTTTTGTGTTTGAACGTGTGCTATTGACCTATACGTATGTACATGCCACGGCGTGCTCAATATCATGTCGCTTTTTAATCTGTCAGATAACAACTCGAATCGAATACTCGATGTGTTGTTTGTTTGTAATTCCGCTCTGCTCGACGCCGACGAGCTGAGGCCTCGTTTAGGAGGCGCCCCGCGTTATCTTACGAACAGAGCCGAAATTCATTCGACCGTGTAATATGTGCGCCGCCTGCGCCCGCCGCCCGCGACGCTCTGCGCCCGATATCGAACTTCGACGTAAACACGCTTCGTCAACATTCCATCTAATTGTTTGCTTTATATCATTTTTAGTTTTATTTCCGTGTAATTATCAAAATACATGTTATTATATAATTATAACGATCCGTCTTCTTTATTAATTTTTTAAAGAAGTAGGTGGTATATTATGTTTGACCACAGATTTTTCGTTCGCTTTTTCATACTGATTGATAGTCTTTTTTCATTTTTATAAACTAACTAACAGAACCCGCGGCTTCGCTCGCGCTAAAATTACAAAAAAAGCTCTAAAAAGGTAGGTATCATACAATCTTTCATCCCTTATTTTACCCTCTTATGGGGGTAATTTCTAAAAATGTTAAAACATGTATTTATTCAATTGTATTAAAGAACATTAATACCAAGTTTCAAGTAATTCTGATCATAAATAATTTTTCGGGTTGTATTATAGCGTGTTTTCCCGTGGGAATGAGATAATCTTCCGCGGTAAAAAGTATCCTATGTCACTCTCTAGCCCTCCAACTATCTGCACACAAAAAATTACGCCAATCCGTCACTCCGTTTCAACGTGAAAGAAGGACAAACAAACACACTTTCACATTTATAATATTAGTAAACTAATTTATATACGTGTGTATTCGCGAGCATTTGCCCCTGAGCGTTGTGTTTTTACGAATATGACATTAAGTTGGAGCCGCTGGTATTTAATAATAATCAAAATACCAGAAGATATTATGGAAAAGAAAAAAATTTGCGATCGTTACTCAAAATATCCAGTATCTGAAAAAATATTTTACGTATATTCTGTCAATTAATTTTCTGTATTTAGCAAGTTTCACAACCTCTATTTTTTGCGTTTTTTCTACTTCATCTTTTCAAAGTTAGAGGAAGAGAATACAATGATGTAATTCGCATATTTGATATTATAATGTTTACAACTTAAGAATCATATAACTCGGATATTATGGGCTTTAAACTAACATGTAAACAGGTTAAAATCAACGTTATTTTTAAAGATCCAAAGTTATGTACACCTGAAACTTAGTCTCCTTCTTTTCTCTCCTTTTTACCCGACTGCGCGACGCTAAGGAGGGTATTGTGTTTATCTGCTTATGTATGTATGTGGGTTTGTACCTTTGCGGCACTATTTAGACCAAACGTATGGACCGATTTTGATAAATGACACGTCGTTTGATTCGTTATAACGGCGCGAATGTGATAGAAAGCATAAAAATTTCGAAAAATCAAAATGAACGATTTTAGGCGCCATAATGTGAAAAAGAAAAAATGAAAATCGATGAACTATGGCAAGTGGCTGTTTTTTAAATCTCTTCAACCGACTCCGATGAATCTTACATATTACATGCGCAGTAATTAAACTTTCATCCCCATTTTTACCCCCTTAAGGGATGATTTCCGGGATAAAAATCGGGTATCCTATGTCCTTCTCAGGATCTCAAACTATCTTCTTACCAAATTTCATCTAAATCGGTTCAGTAGATCCAGGATTACCCTCTTCAACCTCAGAAACTCACAAACTTTGCCTCTTTATAATATTACTATAGATGAGGCCGCGACTTTTCTAAAGAGTCAAATACACAATATGTTTACAAATGTCGAATTTACATTACGAAACTAGTTTTATGCGTGTTCAAATTATTACTAATTAAAATAAAACAAATTATAAACAATTTGAATAAGTTTAAGAATGAATTGTATATTTTATTAGACATCGAGTTATTATAGCATAAATGAATAAATAAAAGATAAAGGACAACACCCATTTTTCGTTTCATTTAGATTTTCTTAT